TCAAGGATCACCTCATGGCAACAGGAATTATCACAATGAAAGCAAAACCTCTAAGAGCAGAGATACACAATATATTGGTTGACATATTGGTATCTGGCGACGATCATTAAAAATCATGGCAGTGGTCTCATGTATCAGTATGGGACAATATTGCAGGCTGATACTTAGACTTTAGTTCATGTTCGAAATTGGCAGCACCAGAGCTAAAGATATAACTAGAAAAATAATAGAGATGATTGCATTGGACGATCAGCCATTTTCGATAGTGGAGGAACGAGGGATTTCATTGGTTTGTTCACCACTTAGAACCTCATCACAGTGTACTGTACCTAGTCAACGCTGCTTTGCTGACATGTGACTGCCTGCAGTACATGATGTGTTTGCAACATTCACGGGATCTTAAGAAGTAACGTCACAGGTTTTATTACAGATTTCTGTATCTCAAAAGTTAAATGGTTATCGGTTTCAGTAAGATCTGACAAAAATGTATAGGTTATCAGCATTGGCCAAAAATCTGAGAGCACATGGAGTCTGGCTGGGATAAACCTCCCGTGATACTAAACACGCAGCCCAGGGATATCTTCTGTCATGCTGGGTAAAATGTGCTGCCTGCGCTCCACCTCTGGCCGTCGGAGATCTAGACAAAGGGTCAATGCTGTGGCCCCTTGCCGCAGCGGAAGCCAGGGCGTTCTGCCACCACACTGTTCTGGCAAAGTCCAATTAGGAGGAGAGTGATTGGGCGGAGTGGGCAGAAGCGGGGGAGCAGATGGGCGAGCGGGATGTCTGTCCGTGTCGCCCTGCCGAGTCCGCCTCGCGCCGAGAGAACAGCGCACCATGCGCTGGCTATGTGCAAAAACATTACAGCTCCAGTCCCAGGGGGGGCGCTGTGCTATTAGTGAGGCAGCAAAACAAAAAGATTCTGCAAACACAGAAGTAAAGTCTAAACAAATAAGAAAACCTATTGTAATGAAACATTTGGAGAGGCTCTTACAGTATGACGCAGCTGAGAGTTCAGTCTGCACGTGTCTTAACAGAGCCAGCTGTGATGTATTTTAAAAAAACACCCCCCAGTGAGAAACTCCCAACCCCAAATTTTCCTTAAATTAGAGAAATTAATATTCATCAATGTGACTGATTTGTTGTTGGGTAAACTAATTGTTCTACAATAAAACAATCAATTATCTGAGAACTAATTCCTCTGATATTACTAGGTCGTTAGTCACACTCCAACAAAAATAAACCAGGGGAAATTTTTCCCTTGATCAGTGCTGTTACTGCAAAAAAAAAAAAAACACGTTCATTTCAGATGTATATGTATGTATGTCACTGTCCGGAAAGGCCAAGTGGAAGCCTGCAGCGGGGAAGAAGAAAATATCAGTCCAAGCGGACTGATTAAGTGTTTAGCCGGAAAAACACAAACATTGCAGGTCCGCTGGGCCCAAGATTGAAGACAGTGGGCCCTAGGGGCAAGCTACTCAGCGCTCTGCTTGATCCCTGCTAACCCCTGGCCGTAGGCAGAGGCTGTGAGATGATCGTGAGAGGAACAGCTCCATTAACAGCGATGGAGGGGAGCACACAGAGCTATTCAGAGACTGTTTGGTGGTGAGAACCAAAGGAAGATTAGCGGCTCTGTGTTCATCATTTGGCTGACGTATTTTCTGGACAGTCACCAAAGCGCCATCTTACAGGGCCGGTGTCTCGTCGAGTTCACCCTAATGCGAGCAGAGGCCCTGCAATTGGACCTTCATCGCAATTTCTTTTGTTGTTTGTCCTCCAGTTGGCAAAATGCAGGGCGGAGAGCATGCTACATGACGCCCACATGAGCGCGTTACATGACGCCCACATGAGCGCGCTACATGACGCCCACATGAGCGCGCTACATGACGCCCACATGAGCGCGCTACATGACGCCCACATGAGCGCGCTACATGACGCCCATGCGTCTCGGGACCTTCAGTGCCCGGCTCATTAGTCTGGATCTGGTGACCTCGGTTTCCCATGGGTCCCGCCGAGTCCTCAGACAGGACCTCGCAAGAAAAGCAGTGGTGGCGGAGTCGCTAAGCATCGCCCTGTGCGAGGGGAGCAGTTAGCAGTTAGCAGCCAGGCTCCTGTGTCTGGCCCGCTGTGTGTTTTGGGGCCTGAGGGCTAAGCAAAGCTGGAATAAAGGATGTTTGCTTAATTAGACATGAGATGCTGAACTGAGCACAGTGTCATGGCTAACCCTCCCCTCCCAAACGCCCCCCCTCCGCTAAGCAGCTGCTAACAAGCCCAGAACGAGAGCTCAGACTGCAGAGGGACTAATCAACACAGTCCATGCACAGCGTGTCGCTGGTAAGCACAAACCACACGGCCCCCTCACCGAGACTCATGTGCGTACAGATGCAGGAGACAATCCTCAGTCGCACATGAGCTTCTCACACACACATATGAAAGCATGCATGCGCACACACACACACACACGCACACACACACACACACACACATGCACAGGTCTCACACACACACATATTTACCCAGACCTCACACACACACAGGCTTCACACACACACACAGGTTTGTAATTATATCTTTGTGGGGAATACTCTAATCCCAACATGAAGTCTTTAACCCCTACCCAACCCTAACCTTAACCATAATAACTAGACAAAATACAAGACTTTTGGCATTTTTAGATTGCATTCACAAATCTTTGTGGGGACCTGAAAAATAACAGGTTTTTATTACATAATGATGAACATTTGGTCTTTGGTCACCACAATTTAATATAAACATAATCCACACACACACACAAACACACACACAGGCTTCACATACAGATACACACTCGCACCTGCATGCACACTCACACACACAACAGATTGTGAGCACTATCCGAGGCTCTGGGAGCACCTGTTACAGGCATGTGATGTTCGGAAGAGTAGGAGGTGGTCTATATATATGTGTGTATGTATGGGGCGGGGGGGAGGGAGTCAAGGGAAAGACAGATGGTTGACATCATGTGACAGGAATTGGATAATGCATCTGGAGGTAAAGCATTGCGTGACCAGCCAACATTATATCCACCATCCTTTGTACAGTTGCCATAAATGTGACATCACAATCAATGCAACTAAGGACATAACCATGAACACACAGGCACAATAGAAGACACACACACACACACACACACACACACACACACATAGATAAATGACCTACAACATAAAAATACTGCTAAAGGCTGAAGCCATATGACTGAATTGAGTCTCTAGAGCTTGGTACCACAGTAGTAGTGTCCAAAATTGTGTGTGGGACTGTGTGTGTGGGTAAACAAGAGAGACGGTTTTGTTGCTTTGGCCTCAAGCAATGCAAAACCAGATATGAAATGGGGGACAATCTACATCTGATACTGTATAAGAGAAACCAAGGATCCGAAGGCCTAGGTACGCCCTACAGTATGAACCTTCCAAAAGGTCTGCCCCTCCCCTTTACCCCAAAGTCAACAACCTGGAGAAACCATGCTCCCTCCCTCTGTGGATGGCAATGGCTCGCAGCGGGACGCCTCGCAATCGGTGCTTCCGAATCCTGGGGGAAACTCCTGTTCACGTCGCGGCGCCAAACACATTAGCAGGATGACGCGTCACATCTGTACGAAAATCACTTTCATCATTACGGTATTAGCTGTCGGGAATCCAGCTATGCTTCTGCGATGGACGGGATTGGCGCCACGCGGATGGAGAGCCGGGGAAGAGGTAATCTTTCGGAAATAAATGTGCATATCTAAACAGAGCTTAATGCCGAGGAGGCGAGAGAAGAAAACCTAGAGGGAAAATCAACTTGATTTCAATGTGACTATATTGATTTTCCAATTTTCTCAGAATTACCATCCCACATAAAGAGGAGAAATGTGTGTCTGCACCATGGTGCAGAACCTATCCTCACCTCTCTCTGTTTCTAACTAGACAGCCACTAATCTTAGCTTGCAGGCAGGGGCTTACACCCAGCCTGGCCTGGGGAGCAGGAGCCTAAACTCAGCTGTGTCTGATAAATTAAAGAAGTTGGGGGTTTGTGGGGGCGGCTTTTAATCCCTTGAACAGGACCTATAAGTTATCTTGTTGCTAATGTTTTTTTAGGTCCTAGTCCTCCTGATCTGTGCCTGCCTTTGGCCTGATTAATGACAGAGATAGACGGCATCGTCTTCATTGACCACTTTCGGCTAATACCAGGCCCTGTTACCTAGCAACATGCCTTCATTCAGCATGGATGTGAGCCAACGTACCTGGAATATCAGTAGTAAAATAAAATTGTAAAATCATAAAATAAACACTGGTCGCCTAGTAACACCATAGAAATCTCTCTGGATGCATCCCTTACCCATCAACAAATAATACGCACAAACACAACACCAGTCCTCAACCAAAACAAAATAATAATAATAATAAAAAAAAACTGTCATTGGATATTTGGACATTTTTGAAACTGCAATACACAATGTACCCAGGACATATCCAAGGAGAATAAGGAGTCCAATGACAGAATCATGTCAGAAACATTAATATCACTATCTGGCCTGACAACCTGACTAATCCCGCTGTCAATTTGCTATTGACAATTCAATCACCCGAGAACGATGACAGAAGACCCAACAGATGGTTTTCTGCCCTGCTGATGGTTGGCGGCGTTTGCGTCACGTCAGTGAACCACGCTCTAAACGTCTGACAATGGCTAATATTATCCCTCCCGCAAGCATCACAAATCGATGTTTCTGCATCCGCCACCGGCCAAACTGCAATCACACTCTTCCCCATATTGCTCATTAGCATGCGGGCACAGAGACATGGCCTGCCTTGCGTCTGGCCCCTTTAATGAAGATAACAGCAGGTGCACCAGCACCAGCATATATTTCCACACTCCACAAAAAAAAACAGTGCTACTTATTGCACCTCACAGCATTCTGGGAGTCTAAGGTCTGAATGTTGGCTCCCCTCTCTGCACCAGTATCGAGGGAGTGCGACGCCTACCTCTCTGTCCAGCAGCGTGGGTGAGATCACCGTGACGATGTCACCCCTCTCGGGGTCGATGTAGAACATGTTGGGGGAGGGCTTGTCGGGGGATTGCTTGGTAATGAAGTAACGCAGCACCGCGTTTTCCGTGCTGGGGTCGTCCGCATCGTAAGCTGTCATTGTCATCACCGTGGTTCCTAGGGAAAGCAGACAAACACACAAAGGCCTTCACTTACTGAAGCCTGCGGAAGCCAGACTCATTATTATTATATAATCATCATTATCAATACATAATCAATAATAATGATTAATAATCCCTCTGCATCGAGGATCATCCTTCGAAAAGCTTTGCAAAATAACAAATAAATATTCATCTCTTTTATGAATTAAGCCTCCTGTAAACACATGAGACTTTATTTACAAACTACTCCCCCCCCCCCCCCGCATTGGTCAGAAGGCACTTTGCTATCTTATTTGAGGAAAGGATCTCGGCCCACACACTGGGGGTGCAGTGAGCTCCCCCCCGGCTCCGCACGTCCCGGTCTCCGAGAGCCTAAATTCTATCCACATCATATCACTCTTTGATAAAACACCTGGGACTGTGAGTCAACAGTCCAGTGCCGTTTTCAGACGATTTTATACATCATCAGGAGAATTCATGAACTGCCCTGCCAGGGAAGCCATTGTCGACCGCGGAACCATCTGGACGAAGGCCAACTAAGATTTCCTGCAGGATACGGAGATACTTAACATACTTCGAGGCTATTTGAGCTTCTATTCACCATATTATATACATCTATTCAATAGCAGAAAAAATGGTTCTGGAGCAAAATTAAAAAAGCAGATGCGGTATATTTCCTAATTATAAAGTGATTACATTTATCTGAGGAATAACGGCGATGCCTGATAGATTTGACGGTCCTACACTGTAAGTGCCAAGTAAGAATCGATGGTAACCGCATTACAGATTGAGTCTGAGTGTCCAAAAGCGGGCAGATACAGGCCATCAGATCTCCATTACCTTATTATCAACACCCTTTGTATTTCGCCACAACAGCTGACTCCCCTCAACTGAAATGCACACAAACACACATATTTCATCTCGGGACCATCCTTATGGATGTGTGCACCTTCAGCAGACAAATAAATCTTCCCCTGACCAGCGAAGGCGAGCTGACAGGATTTCTGAAATATCAGGTCAATATCTCGGTGGGGGTGTAATCCCCCGAAGTCTCCAGCTTTATATGGCCTCAGTTGTATTGACAATAATGAGTGGTAGTGGTGGGGGGGGTGGGGGTGGCAAATAGAAAGGTATGACAATGAAATTGCAGCCTCCCAAGTCTCCTGCTTTCAGCAGGGAGAGCTGTTGACGTCTTCATTGTTGCAGACCGTACCAGCCGAATCCGGACAGTGTGGAAGGGTCAGCCGCAGGGCACGCTAAAACCACACGGATGCTCAGTCTGTAGCGTGGTAAGATTGCTGACCTGGCCGATTTACAGAAAGAACACACCACAAGTCTTATTTTAAGCTTTATTTGCCACAAGTGGAAGGCACGATGCTTTAGCCAATAGTGCTAGCTGTCACACTTCCACGATTGCGGGTTTGATCCCATCTGCATATTTGGTATTTATGCACTAGAGTCAACTTATTTTTACGGTATCAACTTAAATAATATCAAATGAAGTTATTAGATATATAGAGCTGAAGTGCTAGTAGTGTTATTTGTTTTAATGAGAAAGATGTATGATATTTATGTACAAGCAATTAATCTGTCTTTTATGAAACAGATAAATGTGTTACATTATTTTCCAGTTACAAAAAGTGCTACAAAGTCTGCACAAAACAGTAATAATAGCTTATAGAAGCAATGAATGCTATTCTGGTGTCTTCAGTTCTATTTCTATGCAATTTCTACACTTCTCTTCTGTTGCAACACTCTGTTTGCGTGTCAGTGACTCGTACCCCAGGCTTCCTGGGGCAGGCTCAAGGAATAAATAAATTATAGGCTTGTAGGAAGATTGTTGTAATGTAACAGCATCCTCAGCTCTACCAGGAAGTAATTACATCTAATGCAACAGTTACAGTTTTAAACGGCAAAAATGAAACATAGATCAGCATACTGTAAAGCACTTTTAAAGGCTTTACAGTACACACTACATATCCTAATAATCATTCAGCATAACAGAAATGTATGTTTTTGTATGTATATGTTTCTTGGGTGCAGGGCATATATCAAGCTTTGTGCAAAGGAACAATATTTCCAACAAAAAAAGGGTAATTCTTTACATTTAAATGCACCTTCATAATGCATCCATGATACTTTTAATGAATAAGACATCCTAGCTGTAATGAACATTAAAAACAAGTGTTATAATGTTTGTTAGTAATGTATATTAATGGTGTTAAGGTATGTTAGGTTGTTATGGTATACTTACACGCTGCTTATGTTATGCAATGTTTTATGGATGCATGATGAATATATCTTGCAGATGCACTGAATGTTCTATGGATACATTATAATGGCATTATGAAGGTGCAGTTAATATAAAGCATTACCAGAAAAAGTTATGTGTGACCAGCTGCACCCAGGTGCTTGTAATTTGCTTAGCTAGCATTGTCATGTGACTGCTCCATACTTTAATCAGTAAAGGGATAGGCAGCTGAAGTGGGATATGACTTGTGCTTGTAATGAACTAAAATAACAATCAGCACATTAATCATCGCAGGAAAACAATGCCTATCATCCTACAAAGCCCAGTTACTGTTGATTGATACAATTAAAACTAAATCAAAGGGCTCTAGTACAGACGGAAGGTTAAACATGTAAGCTAACTTAATTTGGTTCCTTTGTGGACCTCAAACAAAAGTACAAATTAGTATTCAACTTAAGGAATTGATTAATTTAATTGTTCTGGGCCTATGAGCTTTTCTAGGGGATTAAATAATTAATTGATCATAATTATATTTGGCAATCTATTATTTTAAGGGGCATAAATTTATCAGTACAAATACACCTTCATAAAACTAATCAAAAACAGTTCAATCTCTAGGAAAACTGATTTCTTGGGGCTGAGTTCCTGTACAGCAGGAGTGATAATATCTCCATTATGCAATGAGGAGGGGTGGAGTGATGTTCCCAAGCTGAACACTAAATGGTTACAGGAGGACTGGACATTTCAAACCTCCTCCAAAGCATGTTATATCTACAGTGCTTTCTAGAAGGTTCTCCTACCATGTCTTGATATTTTACATCTTACATATCTGATTTACAGGTGGATATTTGGTGAGCCAATTCAGGACAAATTCCTTGTAAATGGGGTAGGTACCCTTGAAGAACTTTGGTTCAACTCAGTCCCCACTGTGCTACAATGTGCATCGTTTAACGGGCTCCATGCAGAGGACGTCGATTAGACACAGCGGCCTACATGAGTCTTACGGGGTACATGGGGGAGGTTATGCTTGGGGGAACCCAGATAAACAACCTTCCTGGGTTTGAGTTTCAAACATGTATTGAAATTTTTGGTAAATAACTTAACAGGGATTTCATACCGGGAGTTAAATTATTACAGCGAGTGAAGGTATTGATTTCCCAGAGAAGAACCCCGAGGGTACAGCGGGCGGAGCCTCAGAACCCATTACCTCAGCTCCACTCGGCTGTGACCGGGAGCACGCTCCAGGGCTGGATTTACAGCTACACTCTGAGGAATATTTTTCCCACCCATTTGCTTCTCTCCAGACATGGAGAAAAATTCCAGTTCGGTCCCGGGCCCAGATTGCAGGAAAAAAAAAAAAAACACAGATTCTGCACTGTACACAAAAAGGTAATAGAAAATGACCATTAAACTGTGCCAATACCACCGTTGGACAAACAGAAAAATGACAAGGCATAAGGAAAAAGACTTGGAAATCTGTACGTAACTGCACCATGTGGCCTGTACTAAGTGGAGAAAACCTGAGTAAATAGGCCTGTGATTGGCTGACAAGGTGACTACACTAAGACATGAACCACGATTCGCTGCCAGTTATCCCTGTGACTCACTGGTGGTTTAAGCGGCATCATCAGAAGCTAATTATCATTAGCATCTGAGTGAAAATGTGTATGTTATTTCCAGCTAATCTATGAGAGCTACTGACCCCATCGTATACCTTGTTATATTCTGTTCACCGAATTTCCTCATTACACATTCACACAATGTAGCTTTGGAAGTGTTTAGAAGGAAAACAATAACTAATGCCAGGAAATTTTGCCATTGGTCCCTCCTTTCCAAAGATTTAAAGAAGACTCACAGAGCAGCAATATTTATAATATATTCCATCCTATACTTGCACTCATACATGTTCATTTTGTACCAGTATTAGTGCATCCGTGTTTACAGAGGCTGAGGGGTATGGGGGGGGAAAAAAGGGACTACAGCAGCAGCAAGGCTTCATTTCCATGTGTAATTAATTCTCCGTTCTGCATTTGCACGTATTTTCACTCCAAGCCTGTCACCTAGCAGGGGATTTACACAGAGCGGGGAAGGAACCAATAACAAACACGCCTCCTGTTTCCCCAGGGACCGAGTCAGAGGACGGCACTCCCGCAAATGCAGCACGGAAACTCAGAGAGTGCGAGTGATAGATACAGAATTAAAATGCAAACTACAAGAGCCCGATTTGTGTCATTATAAATTCTTTACGTTATCACAGTTCTGAAATGTCTATTTAAATCTAACATGTACTTAACTTCAAATTCTAGAGTCAGTCAATAAAACAGGAGTGTTGAATCTGAGCAGATATTGTTCACCTGTAGATGGACAGTTCTGCCAATGACATCGCAGTGCCAATTCTCTCACAAAGCAATAATGTCTAGAAGAAACAAGCAATCAATAAAGATGACCAGCTATAAAATATCTTTGTATCACAGGATATTAATACTTGCAGTAAAAGGCCATAGTCATCAAAAGTATCCTTTAAAAAACAGCTTTTTCCACAGGTAATGATTTTGAAAGTAAATCAGTACAACTCAATGGTTTCCTAGAGCAGCATATCGTGATGAAATTATCAGTTTCCTGCAGTCACTGAGAGGATGTTTGTTTCAATCAAGTTATGCCGGCATGTGTTAAAAGATATAGAAAGTGTTTTACTTACTTAGTAACATTTTTCTCCTGCAAAGGAATCAAAGTGAAGATTAATGCTGGCCTAGCTGACACTGAGT